CCACACACGCACATGCACATGCGAGAACGTGCGCACGCGCACACGCAGACGCGCAGCACGCAGACGCGCAGACGCGCAAACAGACACGCGCACGCACAGACACACAGATGCGCAGAGACGCACGCAGATGTGCAAGCGCGCGCACACGCACACGTGCTCATCACTGCTTACGCCTTTACACAGACTACTTTTAAGCTTTTGATTTGTCGACATGTGGCTTCTTTTGCCCATATCTTGCTGGCAGCCAATGGCTGCGCTCCGGTGCTTGTCGTCAGGTTCAACCTGGGCGATCAAACCACGCGCCGCTTTGTCTGGAGGAGAAAGAGCAGTACCCTCAGTGACAATTAATGAGTGTGGACGCCGAAGCACCTGGAAACGCGTTGTAGACCACCTTGGTCTCAGGCGCCAGTGGTGGCGACTGCATCGCTGAATCTGGAGAAACCAGGCCAGACACTCTTCCTTCTTGCGTTTCCTGAGTCGCATAAGATGAAAAGCGCATGACTCGAAAAGACTTGATAAAACAAAAGAGGGGAAGTCTGGCCTCACAGCCCTGTCGTCAGGAGCCAGTTGGGCGAGGAGATCGCACGCAAGACGGAGCAATGCCATGGCCCTGTCAGGAAGTGCAGTGCAACAGCATCATAGCAGTCTACCAGACAGACTGCCAAACTCCTCAGCAGAGCTCGTGTGCCACTGTTCCCGTCCGTCGGCCTACCAAATCGTGCAAGATCTGCAGTCCGGAAATCCCTAAACCGCTGAACCGCGAGGACCAACGAGGCCCGAGCTACGCTCGAGCCATATGCGAAACCCTCAAAGCCTTCCAAGCCCTAGACAGGATCCCTAAACCCTAAACATCCCTAAACATCCCTAAACATCCCTAAGCATCCGTAAGCATTTGCTTTATGCAGCAGAGGCAACTGCCCGACTTGCACATCTCCTCCTGGGCCGCCAAGTGGGCCTCCACTCCCCAGCGATATGCTGAACGAGCGGTGGCCCGAGGTCACCAGGGTCACCAGATTGCCGGCTTTCTTTCGAGAAATCGGTGTTGAGGTGGTTTGGGTGGATGTTTGGGCTTTGGGGGGGGGACCGTGCTGTGCTCGCAAGGGACGGCTCTCCGACAGCTCATCATTTTGCCAGCCATTTCCTTTTTGAAGTTTCGAATTGAAGTTCCCCAAAGTTTCCGCCTGGCCCTCTGGCAAGCAGGCCCATGCTCAACACGATCTACTCACTATTCTGTTGCGATGAGGTACTACGTCCAGGATTACACGTTGGTGCCCTCTGATGACTCTCGACCCCTCCTTTGTGCTCGTGGGATGACGCCAACAGGCACAAAAAAGACCTCGTAAGCTTGCGAGCTCAGCGTACGCTAAATCCTGCCACTGACGGTACGGTAGCTGGAACCATGAGCGAGCTGACGGTGCCTCTGTCAGTGCAGGCAATTTCAGCTGCCCCCTCGGACTTTCACACAGCTTGCCTCAGTCTGGATTGCAGATAGGCCTGACAGGTCAAGCTGCGAAGCTTGCAATCTGAGGCTGCAAATTGTTTGACCGATACTTCGCCGTGTTTGCCAGCCCCTTAGTGACTTCGTGTGCTCCCAACCACGAGCCTGACAGCATTCTCACGCAACAACCTCGGCATCTCCGGCTTTCTCATTGCATTGGAAACTGATTCCCCAAGGAGACTCCATATCCCACCTGCCAGAACTCGACGTGCAAGGCCCAAAAAAGTGGCGTGTGACCCGCTCTCACGACAAATATGCCGCTGTGCACTTTAGCATCAAGGCAAATTGTGATTAAGCCTCTGCGATGGGTAGGCGCCGCCCGACGTTGCAAGCCTGGAGAACTTCGCAACCTGGGATGTGAATGCGCTAGCGCCTTGAGAAGCTTGCAGCAGCCACCATTGCTTTGCAAGGGTTGAGCTCTGATGGTGTCTTATGCACGAGCGCAACATGCACGCGTGCGCGTAAGCATTGGCGCGGCTCCGCACGTTTGGAGATTGCATTGTCTTCAGCACGGCGTCAGGTCGACAGATGGTCATTACTGTCGGACGCTCAATTCTGTTTAGGGCATGCCTAGATTAATTGCAGCAGTGTGTAATCATTGCACTCGCCGACTCGTTCATGATCTTTCATGGGCAACGTGTACCAGGTAATTTGGACAATGTCTGTTTTTGCACGTCTCAGCCTGTCTAGAGCACCTTGTGACAGTCCAGTTGCTGGCAGAGCTTGATAAGGCCCGAACATTTCAGCGAGCAAGCCCGCATCTTAGCATTGCAAGGTCCTAATTCGGAGTAGGAGGTCTGTTGACACGTTGTGGATTCAAAGCGTGTATGCTGCCTCACGAACGGTAGACTGTAAAGTCTCATGATTTAGGGGCTTTTGCTCTCCCAGCGTTTATGGTGGACACACGGTCTCCGAATAACTTGAGGCAGTTGGTAGTTGTTGGCAGAAATCTGTTTCGAGCGCAGTGCTGAACTGAGTCCGCTGCCACACGGCGGCATCTGCGCGGTGCTCTGTGCTCCCGGATTCAAGGCAGGGTCTGGCTCACAGGGGATGTGGGTGAGAGAATCTGAGAGCGCGAGTTGGGAGCCCACAGCATGTACAGAGCTATTCAATCAGTCCCTGGCAGAACCTGTAGGACCTTTAAACTACACGCACAAGCACTGCGATTCGTGTGGTGATGTGCGGTGCTTGTGCATGTTGAACCCGCATAGACCATCACATACCTGCCAGTCGCCCCAAGAATCATTTGTCAATGGATTTGGTTCAGGGCGCCGGCGGGGGCGGGGGGGGGGGGGTACACCCTAAACATCCCGACACCCTTAAACAAATGCGTGTTTCCCCTCTGCCCCTTCCCCCCGCCACCTTCCCACCCAAGATATTTATTTCGCCAGATTTAAGTCTCTGCACTCGGGCTGGGTGCATAGCAGTCGCACGACTCCGGGCAGGTAGACAATGTCTATCGCTGCGAGCAAGGAGAGTTTCTGGTGCCTGCCTTTGCATTTCAGCTGGGCTTGCTACGATCTCGCTTCTGGGCTGTGCCAGGTTCAGACAGGATCTCAGTATCCCTTGAAACCTTCACAAGGTGGTCCACCACTGCCTAGAAACATTCATATAACCTCAGGACCCTAAGCCGTTTTCTCGCCTGCAGATGCTGAGGCACCCCACTGCCAGAGGCTCGAGTGCCATGAGCCGTTGGAGCCTTAGACCCTCGAGAAGGGTGCTGATGAAAGATGCCCTTGCGTGCAAAACTCACATAGCACGGACATTTGCATGCTTGAGGTGTTTCGCGAAAGTCCGCATTCGTGGTCACGTAAGTAGATAAGATTTCATGGACGCTCTTCGTCACCTCCACCCCCCTCCTCCACCCCTCTCCTCTCCGATCTCCTGAATCCTACTGAGGTCGGGTCTAAACGGGGGACGTCCCGGCCTCGGATGCTAGACATGTTGTCCTCGTTGAACCAGTTAAACCGTCTAGGCTCCTTGCTGCAGCCCTTCCTGCATTTGAAAGAACCCAGAACCCGTTCAAGGCGGTGCTTGCACATCTGCACCTGCCGTATGTACAGCTCCGGAACCAGTGTACAAGTTCCGGCAACGCGTAAATGACATGGTCCAGCATGGTCCCTTGACATATAGTCCCGTGCCTTTCTTAAGAGGGTTCTGAGGGCTCACAAAGTCGATTCAGGCCCCCTTACTATCGGCCCTTAAGTACCTACACTAAGAAAATCCCAGGTCTGGTTTGCCAAAACGAGGAAAACACTCCCATCTTCGGTGCTGCCTGGGACTCAGCCCTGCTCGCAACCTTTGGAATCCTGCCCTTCTGTTTCGGTGCAGAAATCCTGAATGGGCCAAGGTTTGCGACCTCCTGTGCCCGCCTGGCTACATACCCTCCAATGTCGTGGCCACCTGTGCTACCGAATTGATGGAGCCAGAGGCCACAGTGGCGCCTGTAATTATTGAACATTAATCCCCTCCCGCATCCATGAACCCCCTCACCCCCTTTCCTTAATGGCCTAATGTTATGTTTGCTGGGGCTAGGCCTGGGGTCAGCAAAACCTAGTCTCTGGATCCAAATACCTCGCGGCTTTGTTCTCAGCTAAGCGGTCGAGACACAAAAGCTGACCCCTTGGGGCAGGCACAGCCAACGTTTGATCCGCCCGTGCAGTGCACGCTGAGATCTCAGCTGTTGTCCATCGCAATGTTTGCCATGCACGCCGCAGGTGGGTCCGGAGGTCTTACATGTTTCTGTGGGTTGAAGTGGCTTGCTGGAATAGGTCCGCCCGTACAAACGTTTGTACAGCTTGTACTGCTTGATCTTCATGATCTCCTCTGAGGCCCAGTCTCTGTGGTGATTACCCCTTCACCATCTCGGCTGAAGAAAACTCTGGCATGGAGTATGCCGTGGTGGAGTATGCCACCGACAGCCGAGCAGAGGCCTCGGCTCATTGACGCTTAAGGCTTATGGGGTAAAGCTCTTCGCTACACCAGCTGGTTTGGCAAGTTGTGGAGCTCAGCACGTTTATGTCCTGCGATCTCCTCCTGTTTGCGGCTCGTGCAGAGTTGGGCATGCTTGGCGCGCTGGTCCTAAGGAGATTGAGGCCACGGCAACGTTAACCTGCCTGTCCGGCACCTCAGTCAGTGCTCGAAGCAGTTTTAGAATGGGTCCCAAGCATATGTCCATGGCTCGGCTACAGTGGCATGGAATGGGTACGATACGTTAGACCTCCCTTGCATGCGATTCTCAGGCAAGGCTATTCACCTGGCGGTTCCGCCTTCGGCCTTTCTGGAAGCCTCGAATTGAGGCGAGCATGGGCAGATTCTTGTATTGTCAGCCACAGAACGTCCTGCGCTGTTTGCATAAACGTGCCAGAGAGTCTTGTGGAGGTGCGGTCCTATCGTGAGCAAGGAGAATGAACCAGACGTAGAGTGGAAGCTGGAATACACTGGCGCAGCGCACTCGGGTGCATGTTGAATGCAGGTTGCAAACCAGCGCTTGAATCTCATCTCTGCCGATGAGCAGCTGCGTTGTTAGTGATGCTAATGTGATATGTGATAAGCCATGGCCAGTGATTCTGCTATTAATAATCGTTCGGCCCAGCATAGTCCAAGGAGGAGCTATGTCTGGCCATACACTTGCCATACCGACGTTATAACCATGGCCGATGCTAGCTTGCAGAGAAAGACAGCACAACAGATTGCAAGGGCACGAGACGTCAGGCTATCCTTCATAAGATCGAATTTCCGCTTGTCAAGGCATGCTAGATTGAATGCGTTGATTCTCTTCAAGGCCCGAGCCGGCCGAATCTGCGCTCCCGACGGCCTGGCGGTCTACGACACCGCTGGCCTCCAAGCCGATGATATCAATTGTCAGTGCCATTACCCATGAAATTTGTGCCCCACCTCTGAGACACTTTTCTTTGAATGGATGTATAAGCAGGTGGCTGGAAGGCACGACAAGTTGTGAATCATGTGATATGCGACCCTGAGGTCGTTCTCCTGGGAAACATTACAATGATGTGCGGCGCTGGATATCACTTGACAGCTGGTTGTTCGTTGTGAAGGGCACCTCTTTGGAGTAAATTGCACCACTCTGCCAAGGCTGAATCTGCCAAGCACCCTGACAAAGGCCGGGCTGTACACGAGTGACAGATGGCTTAGAATGAGAGTATAGACTGTAGATACACTATGACACACTATATTGCTACATATATGTGTATTTGTATCTAGGGGGGCTGTCGCCCGGGCTGTTTTCCCAAAACGTGTTTTTGCTGTTTTCTTGGCGCGCGCATGGCCAGAGCATTCCCTCACGATGACAACGTCCGTGTTGCCAATGCATGCGAATGGCCAGAGCGCTGCATCTGAAGATGCCTGCGCTCCTTTTCATTACTTTCCTTTTCTTCTCAAGCCCAAGTTGAGGATACCTCCTGGCAACGGAGACGTCCCTGTTTTGCACTGGGGCCCGACATCTGAAAAGACGCTCCCGGCCACCAGCCAAAGATTGCAAAGAGTCGATTGCCCGAAGCGGCAGCAACAAGAACAACAGCAAGAAGAACAACAAGACGAACAACAAGAAGAAGAACAACAAGAACAACAACAAGAATCACAACAAGAAACACAACAATAAGCACAACAAGAACAAACACAGCAAAGTACCCCAAAGCACAACAAAACACAACAAAACACAACAAAACACGACAAAACACGACAAAACACGACAACACACAACGAATACACAACGAAACACAACAAAAAAACAACACAACACAACAAAACACAACAAAACACAACAAATCACAACAAACCACAACAAAGCACAACAAAGCACAACAAAACACAACAAAGCACAACAAACCACAACAAAACACAACAAAACACAACAAACCACAACAAACCACAATAAGCACAAACACAAAACTAAGAAGAATAATAAGAATAAGAATAATAAGAAGAAGAAAATAAGAATAGAAAGAAGAAGATGAAGAAAGGTAAAAATAAGAATAGAAAGAAGAAGATGAAGAAAGGTAAGAAGAATAACGACACCAACAATGACCGGGCGCAGGGGGGCCAGAAGGGCGGGAGGTGGGCTTTAATGTGTCTATATATATATATATAATGTACATCTATATATATATATATATATACACATATGGGTGCTGCCCCTCGCCCAGGATCAGCTCTGCACCACATTCAAGGATCGCTTCATCGGCGATGTCAGCCTGGCCCTTGCTTGGTCCCAAGCTTTCCAGAAGCGGCCTTCACAAATTGCCAATGGAGGGCGCTGTCATGTACATCTCGATGTATCGGGGAGCATTTTCCCGTAGTGGGCCTGGGATTGCGTAGAGAGCATCCAGGCCTACAGTATTGCTGCCAGTGCATGCGGACCTTCAACTCCCAAAGCGCATGTTGCAACGAAAAGCCAGCCCAAGCAGCTGTTTCGTTGCTTGCTGCCGCCAAATCAGCGCTGCCTGGGCTTGGGCAGTTCCTGCTCCCAGGTGATGGGGCTGTCCTCCGCTGGGCAGGCACATCTGCTTCCCTGTCAAAACTGTCAAGCACTCGTTGGGAATGAGAATCTCTCAAGGAATCTTTGATGACATCAGACTTCAATGGCAGGTTCCACTCAACGCAGCTTCAGTCACGGTCTCAGACGGCAGCCATTTAAATAGAACCGACATCGTTCATCGAGAAGAAACTTGCTGAGCTGAGCGCGAAAGAGTGCCTCGGTGTGCAGGTGTTGAATGTTGAGATTTCGGCTTGTGAGTCATCTCTGCGGATACGGAGACGACTGGCTGCCGTTGCCGCATGGCAGCATGTAGATGCACGACTCATGCTGGAGCTGCACATCTAAGCAGGGAATAACAGTAGATGTTGTTGGAGTTCACTGGTTGCAATAATTTCGTGGAACCTGCCAGCCTGCCAGCCGCAGAGAGAGAGAGAGAGAGAGAGAGAGTATGCCCGAGCAATGCATTTTTGCGATTCAACCCTGTGTTCGCTCAGGCAACAGCAGTCAGCTTTGCCGTGAAGGTTGGAAGCTTTGAGCGACGACCCGGGCTTCATAGCTATCCCTGGTACCCGGTCTGATAAATAGTAAACCTTCATGTCCTTCCGATGGTGTCCCGGGAAGGAAAACATGAGCTTTAGCACTTCTAGCAAATTGAAGAATGTGCCATCCTCTTCTTATCTGACTTTGCGAGTGCCTGCTGCGGATTAACTCCACCTCAAAATTGCTGATCAGCCCGCAAGTAGTGCAGGTAGAGAACGATGCAGAAGCACTGCAGCTCCAGTCCACAGTCACAGAGCAGGATGCAAGCCCAGGGCTCAGATGGCTCAGAGGCTGTCCAGCGATTTGGGATTTCCGATGCTGGAAGCCCGTTCATCTGATAGTTGCCGATACCTCACTGTCCATTTCTAGGGTCAACTGTCTTCTGAAGTTGCAAAGATTACGCAAAAGTGCCAAGATAAATTGGACTTGAGGCTTGCATCTTTGCCTTTTGCAAAGGTGACGTGTTTGACCGGGTCTTTTCGCTGGCCTTGCTGTCTTCTTCTGGCATCGACGTCTCAGGCGGGCAGGCTTCTCCAATGTCCGAGAAGCCGCAAAGCACTTGTCACTGTTGGCCAGAGCTGAAATGTGGAGCGAAAACAGATTTCCAAAGCCACAACACTGGTAAGACTAGGGACGGCAGATTTCTGTAAGGAAACCGAGAAGCGGATCGTGCGTGAACCTGCGACTCCTGTATGCCAGATCTAGCAAAGACCCGCATGATCCGCGACATCCTGTACATTATTGACAAGCGCGGCTCTCAGAGAGACCTGCTGATCTTTCTCCAGTCAGCGACCTTTGAATCAGGTGTCGCCATAGCCATAGACTTGATGTAGCGCGCAAAAAGCATATTCGTACTACAAGGAGAGCACAGAACAACAATGCAAATAAACGAGAGTCAGAGTCAAATGTCACAAGATGCTACAGCTTGCCACGTCGCAGCCGCGCACTCCGCCAGGCCGGATGGAACGCAAGTCTCAGTGGCCGCAGCCCTGGCGGTTGTCGGCATCGGTGTCGAAGCTGCAGTGTAGCAGCACATTGCACAAAAACCTCACGTCTCGCATAGAATCGACGTGGAGGTGTCTCTTTTGGAAGATGCAAGTTCAAACGCTGTCAAACACACTTCTGTGTGTCGCGACGACTGGGCGGCAGACGGATTGTGACATTTTCAAGGTTAAGATGAAGCGATGCAAAGCAAGATCTTGCGTGTTTGGTGTCTTGTCCACTTGTTGGCAAGGTGCGAGACAATAGCAGGAGCCCCAGCAGCGCAAGGCAACCTTAACCATCATGACCCATCCTGATGAGTCACAGAGTCAGATCACGAACACTTGTCAGCTCATCGCATGGCCACCAAAGGCAGCAACGACACCGGCAACGACAGCAACAATGACACAGGCCTTTTTCCCACGTCTTCAGGGAAGATGAGTTGACAATAGTGCCGCTGCGGCGGTGAGTTTCACTGACCACGCCAACGGCACGATTTGTCAGCAGGAGAAGACGATGATGACGG